CCCCAAAACCCCAAAACCCCAAAACCCCAAAACCCCGATATATAAATGCAAAATTGATTAGGATTATGGATTTTAAATTTCATCAGCTGGTTTTTCATCAGGTACTTTAAATTCTCTTCCTTTTGAGTCAGTATATATTCCTGATTCAAATTCACTCTCTACCCAAGTTCCTACCGCTCTTGCACCATCTGCTTTGACAACATGTCCTTTTCCTTCTTTCTTATAATTCTTAAACTCCCCAAAATATTGAGCCCCATTTGCCCAATTTCAAACAATGTAATCTTCATGAGAGTCATTCTTCCAGTCACATTCAAAATAAGTTCCTGGTTCAGTACTATATCTCCCATGGCCTTCTCTTTTGCCTTCGACAAAGTATCCTTCAAAAGTTCTGCCTCTCAAGCCTTGAACTCCAAAGCCATGGAACAAATTATTTTTGAATCCTCCTTTGTGGAAGACGTCGGCAGAATTGAATAAGAATCCTTCTCCTTCAAAATTACCTTCTTTGAATTCTCCTCTGTAGCATGAATTATAAAATTCTTTCATCAAGAATCCATCTCCTTCAAATATCCCTTTGTCGAATGATCCTTGATAAAACTCATTATCTGTAGTTTTCAATAGTCCTCTTCCTTCTATTTGGCCAGTCTTTTTTCTCCATTGGCCAAAGTAGACCTTATCATCTTCAATGTGGGTGAGAGGCCTAAATTCTAGCTCTATAGGAGATGATACGAGAATCTCAGGCTTTTCTGTTTCAGAATAAAATTCCTTCAATCTCTCGGTCATGCTTTTCTCCATCTCAGAGATGACAAGAGAAATATAATACTCAAGATTTTCTTGGTCTTTTAAGAGACTTGTAAGTTTTTGATATTCCTCAGTACTTAGCCTATAAATGAAATCTAACTCATATAATTGGCTCTATTTTACCAAAATCATAATTTATAATAAAATACGCTCTATTATCTCAAATCACTTCAAATACCTTCTACTATAACTCAATTTCTTACCAATTTCTCCTAATTTGAAGTGACTTCTGAACTAACTCCTCAGAATCCTTCTTAAATGCCCCTTCCATTTCTTAACTACAATTTTCTACACTGACTTATATTATAGGGGTTTTGGGGTTTTGGGGTTTTGGGGTTTTGGGG